AATTTCACACATAAAGTCATATACATCAGAAAATATTCATGAAATGACCTTTCTGTGTTTTAGAAATATGCTTCTTACATGACCGCTAGGTTTGAAATTTAGGCTTTTGACTTTTGAATGAAATGATATTGTCATATTCAAGCACACATGGCAATAGTTTAAAATATACCAACTTTTCATTTGAAAATATCTCAACCAAACTAATTTCTGTTTAGCCTTTTACTTTGTCTTTTATTTAGCCTTTACTTTGTCTTTTGTTTTGCCTTTTACTTTGTCTTTTGTTTAACCTTTTACTTTGTCTTTTGTTTAGCCTTTTACTTTGTCTTTTGTTTAGCCTTTACTTTGTCTTTTGTTTTGCCTTTTACTTTGTCTTTTGTTTAACCTTTTACTTTGTCTTTTGTTTAGCCTTTAATTTGTCTTTTGTTTAGCCTTTACTTTGTCTTTTGTTTAGCCTTTACTTTGTCTTTTGTTTTGCCTTTTACTTTGTCTTTTGTTTAACCTTTTACTTTGTCTTTTGTTTAGCCTTTTACTTTGTCTTTTGTTTAGCCTTTTACTTTGTCTTTTGTTTAGCCTTTACTTTGTCTTTTGTTTAGCCTTTAATTTGTCTTTTGTTTAGCCTTTAATTTGTCTTTTGTTTAGCCTTTAACTTTGTCTTTTGTTTAGCCTTTACTTTGTCTTTTGTTTTGCCTTTTACTTTGTCTTTTGTTTTGCCTTTTACTTTGTCTTTTGTTTAGCCTTTAATTTGTCTTTTGTTTAGCCTTTAATTTGTCTTTTGTTTAGCCTTTACTTTGTCTTTTGTTTAGCCTTTACGTTGTCTTTTGTTTTGCCTTTTACTTTGTCTTTTGTTTAACCTTTTACTTTTTCTTTTGTTTAGCCTTTTACTTTGTCTTTTGTTTAGCCTTTTACTTTGTCTTTTGTTTAGCCTTTACTTTGTCTTTTGTTTAGCCTTTAATTTGTCTTTTGTTTAGCCTTTAATTTGTCTTTTGTTTAGCCTTTAATTTGTCTTTTGTTTAGCCTTTAATTTGTCTTTTGTTTAGCCTTTTACTTTGTCTTTTGTTTAGCCTTTTACTTTGTCTTTTGTTTTGCCTTTTACTTTGTCTTTTGTTTAGCCTTTAATTTGTCTTTTGTTTAGCCTTTAATTTGTCTTTTGTTTAGCCTTTAACTTTGTCTTTTGTTTAGCCTTTACTTTGTCTTTTGTTTTGCCTTTTACTTTGTCTTTTGTTTTGCCTTTTACTTTGTCTTTTGTTTAGCCTTTAATTTGTCTTTTGTTTAGCCTTTAATTTGTCTTTTGTTTAGCCTTTACTTTGTCTTTTGTTTAGCCTTTACGTTGTCTTTTGTTTTGCCTTTTACTTTGTCTTTTGTTTAACCTTTTACTTTGTCTTTTGTTTAGCCTTTTACTTTGTCTTTTGTTTAGCCTTTTACTTTGTCTTTTGTTTAGCCTTTACTTTGTCTTTTGTTTAGCCTTTAATTTGTCTTTTGTTTAGCCTTTAATTTGTCTTTTGTTTAGCCTTTAATTTGTCTTTTGTTTAGCCTTTAATTTGTCTTTTGTTTAGCCTTTTACTTTGTCTTTTGTTTAGCCTTTTACTTTGTCTTTTGTTTTGCCTTTTACTTTGTCTTTTGTTTAGCCTTTAATTTGTCTTTTGTTTAGCCTTTAATTTGTCTTTTGTTTAGCCTTTTACTTTGTCTTTTGTTTAGCCTTTAATTTGTCTTTTGTTTAGCCTTTACTTTGTCTTTTGTTTAGCCTTTTACTTTGTCTTTTGTTTAGCCTTTTACTTTGTCTTTTGTTTAGCCTTTAATTTGTCTTTTGTTTAGCCTTTACTTTGTCTTTTGTTTTGCCTTTTACTTTGTCTTTTGTTTTGCCTTTTACTTTGTCTTTTGTTTAACCTTTAATTTGTCTTTTGTTTAGCCTTTTACTTTGTCTTTTGTTTAGCCTTTTACTTTGTCTTTTGTTTAGCCTTTTAATTTGTCTTTTGTTTAGCCTTTAATTTGTCTTTTGTTTAGCCTTTTACTTTGTCTTTTGTTTAGCCTTTAATTTGTCTTTTGTTTAGCCTTTAATTTGTCTTTTGTTTTGCCTTTTTTTGTCTTTTGTTTAGCCTTTTACTTTGTCTTTTGTTTTGCCTTTTACTTTGTCTTTTGTTTAGCCTTTAATTTGTCTTTTGTTTAGCCTTTAATTTGTCTTTTGTTTAGCCTTTAATTTGTCTTTTATTTAGCCTTTACTTTGTCTTTTGTTTTGCCTTTTACTTTGTCTTTTGTTTAGCCTTTAATTTGTCTTTTGTTTAGCCTTTTACTTTGTCTTTTGTTTTGCCTTTTACTTTGTCTTTTGTTTAGCCTTTTACTTTGTCTTTTGTTTTGCCTTTTACTTTGTCTTTTGTTTAGCCTTTAATTTGTCTTTTGTTTAGCCTTTTTGTTTAGCTTTTACTTTGTCTTTTGTTTTGCCTTTTACTTTGTCTTTTGTTTAGCCTTTAATTTGTCTTTTGTTTAGCCTTTAACTTTGTCTTTTGTTTAGCCTTTACTTTGTCTTTTGTTTTGCCTTTTACTTTGTCTTTTGTTTAGCCTTTAATTTGTCTTTTGTTTAGCCTTTTACTTTGTCTTTTGTTTTGCCTTTTACTTTGTCTTTTGTTTAGCCTTTAATTTGTCTTTTGTTTAGCCTTTAATTTGTCTTTGTCTTTTGTTTTTGTATAGCCTTTTACTTTGTCTTTTGTTTAGCCTTTAATTTGTCTTTTGTTTTAACTTTGTCTTTTGCCTTTTACTTTGTCTTTTGTTTTGCCTTTTAGCCTTTAATTTGTCTTTTGTTTAGCCTTTTACTTTTTCTTTTTTTTTGCCTTTTACTTTGTCTTTTGTTTAGCCTTTAATTTGTCTTTTGTTTTGCCTTTTACTTTGTCTTTTGTTTTGTCCTTTAATTTGTCTTTTGTTTACCTTTGTCTTTTGTTTAGCCTTTAATTTGTCTTTTGTTTTGCCTTTTACTTTGTCTTTTGTTTTGCCTTTTACTTTGTCTTTTGTTTAGCCTTTAATTTGTCTTTTGTTTTGCCTTTTACTTTGTCTTTTGTTTTGCCTTTAATTTGTCTTTTGTTTAGCCTTTAATTTGTCTTTTGTTTAGCCTTTTACTTTGTCTTTTGTTTTGCCTTTTACTTTGTCTTTTGTTTTGCCTTTTACTTTGTCTTTTGTTTAGCCTTTTACTTTGTCTTTTGTTTAGCCTTTTACTTTGTCTTTTGTTTAGCCTTTAATTTTTGTTTTGTTTAGCCTTTAATTTGTCTTTTGTTTAGCCTTTAATTTGTCTTTTGTTTAGCCTTTAATTTGTCTTTTGTTTAGCCTTTAATTTGTCTTTTGTTTAGCCTTTAATTTGTCTTTTGTTTAGCTTTTACTTTGTCTTTTGTTTAGCCTTTTACTTTGTCTTTTGTTTAGCCTTTAATTTGTCTTTTGTTTAGCCTTTTACTTTGTCTTTTGTTTTGCCTTTTACTTTGTCTTTTGTTTTGCCTTTTACTTTGTCTTTTGTTTAGCCTTTAATTTGTCTTTTGTTTAGCCTTTAATTTGTCTTTTGTTTAGCCTTTTACTTTGTCTTTTGTTTTGCCTTTTACTTTGTCTTTTGTTTAGCCTTTTACTTTGTCTTTTGTTTTGCCTTTAACTTTGTCTTTTGTTTAGCCTTTTACTTTGTCTTTTGTTTAGCCTTTAATTTGTCTTTTGTTTAGCTTTTAACTTTGTCTTTTGTTTTGCCTTTTACTTTGTCTTTTGTTTTGCCTTTTACTTTGTCTTATGTTTTGCCTTTTACTTTGTCTTTTGTTTAGCCTTTACTTTGTCTTTTGTTTAGCCTTTAACTTAGTCTTTTGTTTTGCCTTTTACTTTGTCTTTTGTTTTGCCTTTTACTTTGTCTTTTGTTTAGCCTTTAATTTGTCTTTTGTTTAGCCTTTAACTTAGTCTTTTGTTTTGCCTTTTACTTTGTCTTTTGTTTTGCCTTTTACTTTGTCTTTTGTTTAGCCTTTAATTTGTCTTTTGTTTAGCCTTTAATTTGTCTTTTGTTTAGCCTTTAATTTGTCTTTTGTTTTGCCTTTTACTTTGTCTTTTGTTTTGCCTTTTACTTTGTCTTTTGTTTAGCCTTTAATTTGTCTTTTGTTTAGCCTTTAATTTGTCTTTTGTTTTGCCTTTTACTTTGTCTTTTGTTTAGCCTTTTACTTTGTCTTTTGTTTTGCCTTTTACTTTGTCTTTTGTTTAACCTTTTACTTTGTCTTTTGTTTAGCCTTTAATTTGTCTTTTGTTTTGCCTTTTACTTTGTCTTTTGTTTAGCCTTTTACTTTGTCTTTTGTTTTGCCTTTTACTTTGTCTTTTGTTTAGCCTTTAATTTGTCTTTTGTTTAGCCTTTTACTTTGTCTTTTGTTTTGCCTTTTACTTTGTCTTTTGTTTTGCCTTTTACTTTGTCTTTTGTTTAGCCTTTACTTTGTCTTTTGTTTAGCCTTTAATTTGTCTTTTATTTAGCCTTTTACTTTGTCCAAGACATTTTTATGCTTGATTAAGCTTGATTTATTGTCTCTTATTGTCAGAGTTCTAGGAGAAAAGTCACTAAACTGCTGACAGTGCCTGGTGACTACCCAAACACAGGTCGCAAACCTTTTAGCCAGAGGAGGAGGTATAGTTATAAAGACGGTCAGGTGCCTTAACTAGTCGGTCACCTTGGCCACACTATCATCTCATTAGTGTAGGATACCTTGATATCATACAATCATTTTTCTACCAATGCTTCTTAGTCAGTACGACCTTTAAAGTCACACTGATTACTGTACTTGTATCATTCACCACATGATATGGTATCCAATAAAAAGGACTGAAAATTAAATAGGTAGGGAAAAACAAATCATAACAGAAATATAATTATTTAACATTTAAGCTAAGAAGGAAGGGAAAAACAAAGGAACGTAACAGTAGGTATACACTGTATAACATAATAGCTGTCAAGTAGAAATAGTCGCTATTTTTGTTGCAATTGACAAAACATTTAATTAAAACGCAACAAATACGACTTTATTCTAAAGAATTATGTTTACAGTTATATGATATTTATCAAATTTTTTCCTCTTGAATTACTCTTTGGATTAAACCATGCTAGAACCAATCAACTGATCATGTTACACAGTAACTCGTCATAATTGTATAGCTTTACATTAAAATGCAATTTTTGATGTGTTAACTTCATTTTCATTCCATATATCACAGTTAATATCACTTATTAAATCATATCATCAAACTTCTTGATATTGTCATCCATCATCGATTTCATCGTGTTCTTCCATTTCTTCTAAATCAGTAGAAGCCTCTTTAGCCAATCTCAGTCGTCTAGAAATTCATAAAAACAAGTCATTAGAGATTCATCAGTTCCATCAATTACAAAGTTTTAAATTTCAAGAGGGTATCAATATTTCATTTGTCATCATCAAGAATATGGGCTTATGTAGCTGGGGCAGAAATACAGAGAAACCTATTTACACATGCTAATGAATGTTAATTTCAAAAATTAGATACATCTTCAACTGCCCTTTTTCAGTATTTATGCCAGTATGAACATAAATAAATCATAGATTTACCACAAGACCATAATAAACAAATTGTACTCAATTGTCATATGCAACGTATACATACCTTGCTTCAATTCTTGCACATTTTGGACATTTATCAGGGATAAAACAAGATTTGTGGTAGCATGTCCGACAACCTGGAAACAACAGATCAGATTTAGTAAAGTGTTGCTCTGTAACATGTAAAGTAAAGTATTAAAATGATAATGTTTTAACAAAAAGAGATCCCAGAGGGATCTTGGTGCCCATCATTGTTTGATCTTTATATGCTCTTTGAAAGTTGGACCCTTTGCTGAAATAGCGAGGATAATCTTTTCCTGTCAAATCCAAAATGGTTACCTGGAAGCCATTTTGTTTTTCTGATCAGTCCCAAACTCTAACAGGCACAACTAGGGACCAAGAGGAAGTTATACATGAAATCTGAGAAATCTCCTCGCAGCATTTCACAAGAAACAGCGATAGCAAATCTTGGATGTCAAAATCCAAGATGGCCGGCTGTAGGCCATATTCTTTTTCTGGTCAGTATGAAAATCAAACAGGCACAACTAGGGATCATGGGAATCATACACACAAAATTTGAGAAAAATCTATGCTGCAGTTCTCTAGAAATGGCAATATTAAATTTCAAAATAAACATCCAAGATGGACAGACCACAGACGTAGGGCAATTGACCACTATCTGATGAACATGGAATCACTGTTTTGTGTTCTGGATGAATTCAAATGTAAAATCTTAATTTTATCAAAACACATTTGTCAAAAAGGAATATTGTTGTAAAGCTTCACATAGTAAAGCGTAAAATCCCTGTATTCTCTCAACAACATATAAAAATACCAGTAATATCATATTTCAATTTACTTTTCTTTATATATCCAACCGATAAAAGAAAGTGTCATATAGGCTCAATGGATAGAGAATGGTAATATCTACACAGATTTACCTCCCTTTTAATCAGTGCCACCCATCCCTTCCTATTATAAAGCAAAAATATCTGATCACAAAAATAATTAAACATCTTACACAAAGAGATGCTAACAAGTCAACAGCTGATACATATGTAGTAAATTCAATGTAGTCACTGTCTGATATATGTTTTGTTAAATTAATTCAAAATTATGCTAGATTATGGTCTAAAATGAAGGTCCTTGATGTAAAAGATTATTTCTACCTGGGCATACTGTGACCTTTTGTAGCTCAAATGGGAATATCACTTCTTTATCATGGCACATCTCACAGAAAAATCCCAAGCCTTGGCAAAACTGTTAAAAACAAACAGAAAAACGAGATTTTAGGATTAGTGTATTACAGCCAGCACACATATGATTAATGCAAAGAAAGTAGTACTGAGTAGATTTGTTGATCAAGTCATTTTCTTAAACAAACCTGAAAGTCTTTCATGCTACTAGACCAATTTCATGATCCTGGGCCACATGATTATTAAATAAGGGTTGTTTAAAGAGAAGAAAAGTTTACTCCCAACAGAAAACAGATGCAACACTTTGTCAAAAGATTGAAAAAAAGACACACAAGTGAATAGAACCTTTCAATACAACATAGAACTACTGTAGATACAGTAGAACTAAATAATGAACTGAACTGCATCTTACAGCTGTTTTACTCTTCTAGGACTAGGAAGTGATGCTGAGGGCCCAAGTTTTCAAACCCATAAGTCAAGGCGACTAAGGAAACTCAATATTGATCAAAAGAAATGTCTAAATCTAGATAGGTAGGTGGACTAACCCCAGGATTTAATGAATTATGTAGTTTACATCTTTCTGATAATTTCAAAAGAATTTCAAGACAATAACATATTCTGAACAGTGCCAAAGTTTGAATGAATTAAAACATAGTATGCAGGTTAGGGCAAAACTCAAGGACTGAAAGTTTGATGATGCAATACTATGTCATAAGCTCACTTCAAGCAGTTGAGCTAAAAAATAAAGCACACTGAGTTTTGCTAAAGCAATACATGTCCCTTACCAGCCCCTGCACTTAAATGATTTACAAACATGGTTTCATTTGGTGTTAAATGTAGAAAAAGGAAAATATTAAATAAGATTGGAAATGATTTTAATGCAGCAATGCAATAAATATGTATGACAATCTGACGATATAGATTTATTGCCAAAGTGTAATAACGTGTTATGGTAATTTGTAAGTGTGTGAGGTTAGGTCAAAATCCTGTGATGAAGCAATTAGAGTGCCAACAAAGATTTTCTAAACAGAGACCTTGACCTTGAGCGAACTTTTACCGTGAAACCATAAAACAATAAACAATGAAAGATGTTTAGGTGTTATAAAGGGGAAAGAAGTTTGATGAAAATTCCTCAAAACGAGAGGCCGATAAAGCACTGACAATGATTCTCTAAAAATTGTTACAGTGACCTTGTCCCCACATCCCTATAACTTCAATTTATTAAGAGATATCATAGTTTCTTGTAAGTGTGTGAGGTATGATCACAATAACATAAAGCATGAAGCTGTTAAGTAGTCTGATAATGATTTTCTAAAAAGAGTAATGGTGACCTTGACCTTTACCCATCAACCCTGAAACTCAAACTCATCAAGACATTTTCATGCTTTGAAAGTGTGTAAATTTTGATAAAAAATCCCTCAAAGAGTGAACCCAGGGCAACTAGAGTACTGACAGATTCTGGGTTTACACATATATTTATGTACATACACAGATTGAGGAATGGACAAAGGGAAAACATTAGTTCCCTCCCCCGGTGTTACTAGCAGGGCACTAATAATCAGACTGCTTATAAATAAGAATTCAGACAATGTATGTGTGTGAAAGGTCATACAACCATCAATTCTAAAATTAATTGGTGTCCTTCCACCTTATTGTAAATAGATTCACTACAAAATACACTGGGTTTACTCATAAAGGAGACATGCAATTAAATTGTTAAGTTTTAATGAAGTTAATAAATATTAAAAGTGATTTCCTAAATGACTTGTACCTATGTCCTTGACAATGATAACTATCTAGCTAAAGCTTGGTATACAAGGTAATGGATACTTACAGAACAGTCCTGAACATGGACCATAGAAATGTTTACAACATTTCTCAACTGAGTCAACATCTCACCAGATTTTACCTGTAATAGAACAGATGTAACAGCAATAGTAAAATAGAGATGGGGTACTGACTGTAGTATGACATTGGTGTGTAATAACCTAGGCATGTATAGTGATAAAAGACCCGACAAATTCACTTGCTCTGTATTTTCATTAGACATAATACCATTTAAGAGATTTTTCATGTTTCTTGTTTTAACCATTTTTGAATACCCAATATAGAAGTTGCAAGTTTTAATTTATGAAAGAGTTAGATAATATAGGTTTAGTTTCTGCACTGCAATGTTGAATGTATGACATAATTAGATGTTCAATTTTCAACACAAAACAGGAAAATTTGAGAATAGGTGAATGTCATAATTTACTTACTTGTACAAGATCTAAGAGGTAGCACAGGTAAATGTCATCTGTTCATATTTTACCTGTACAAGGTCTGATAGGTAATGCAAAACTTACCTGTACAAGGTCTAACAAGTATAACAGAACTTACCTGTACAAGGTCAGGTAGTGTGTACAGGTAAATGTCATATTTTGTAACTTACCTGTAGAAGGTCAGGTAGTGTGTACAGGTAAATGTCATCTTTTGTAACTTACCTGTAGAAGGTCAGATAGTGTGTACAGGTAAATGTCATCTTTTGTAACTTACCTGTAGAAGGTCAGATAGTGTGTACAGGTAAATGTCATCTTTTGTAACTTACCTGTACAAGGTCAGATAGTGTGTACAGGTAAATGTCATCTTTTGTAACTTACCTGTAGAAGGTCAGATAGTGTGTACATGTATATGTCATCTTTTGTAACTTACCTGTAGAAGGTCAGATAGTGTGTACATGCAAATATCATCTTTTGTAACTTACCTGTACAAGGTCAGATGGTGTGTACAGGTAAATGTCCACTTTTGTAACTTACCTGTAGAAGGTCAGATAGTGTGTACAGGTAAATGTCATCTTTTGTAACTTACCTGTACAAGGTCAGTACATGTAAGGTCTTTGTGGTAACATGTACAAATAGTGTGTACATCTTTTGTAACTTACCTGTACAAGGTCAGATAGTGTGTACAGGTAAATGTCATCTTTTGTAACTTACCTGTACAAGGTCAGATAGTGTGTACATGTAAATGTCATCTTTTGTAACTTACCTGTACAAGGTCAGATAGTGTGTACAGGTAAATGTCATCTTTTGTAACTTACCTGTACAAGGTCAGATAGCGAGTACAGGTGAATGTCATCTGTCCAATGACCTTGAAGTTGCTCAACATCATTCAGCACACTAGAAAAAATATGTGGTCTTTTATACATCACTTTATTGTCTCTCTTTAATTTGAAACCTCTTCTAATAATTACAAACTTATATGACATTAGCTCTATCTCTAACAATTTTGAAAACAAATATCTTCAAAAATGACTTCACAATATCTACTGATATTTTTCTTCAATTTCTGATTTTCACAATATTTAAGGTAATGATTTTAAACAAACAATTGAAATATAATAAAATACAATGCCAATTCAAACCTACTTTACATGATAGACATTTAAACATGGATATAATTCACAGAACTTTGTCAATATCAATTCAAGGAGGCTAAAAAGTTTTAAAAAAGAGTATGTTCAAAGAAAAAGCACATATTTATCAATATCAATGTGAGCAAACCAAGGGACACAAACTGAATACTCTGCAATATTCCTACCTGGAAGCTCTTTTACATATCCTTAGGAAATTTTTCAAATGTATCAACTGGGTCCTGAGGTCTTTTATATTGTCCAAGGCTCGGACTCGCCGATACAAACTAGAATTAATGTCTGTCAGATTAAATAATGGATCACGAATGATTCTTGAAATTAAATCCCGTGAAAAGTTAGAAACAGAATATTTTTTGAAGTCCCATCTTCTTAATATCCTGCCAGGAATATATGATAAGCTATTACTATGACAACACTGGCAGAAGTACTTTCCTAGATATTCACAATAACGGAATCTTCTGATATATCCTGAAATTGAACAAGAAATTAATTTAGACAATATATTTGATTAGGACACATTACCAACAAAGTTTGGTTAGAAAGATACAAAGATGAGAATATTTCAAAGTACAGTTGACTCCTGCTTATTTCTGATTTAAACACTATATCAGCTGATTTTCACTAGAATTGATTTCATTTTAACAGTACTTTATCACATTTTTACAAAAGCATAAATTTATCATACAATACTGGAATTAATGTAAACAGTACATAACATAACCAGTAAAATGTCAATATGATAACACTATATTTCAAGATTCTAATTCAAATTCTGACAAAATGAATTTCTGACATCAGACACAGCACTCTATGGATCATTTACTGTTTGAAGACCAACTACACTTCTCAGCTTCCCAACATGTTTATGAAAATAATTTAATCAAAACTTGATCTAATTGGTATAGCGTTACTGATCTAATTGGTATAGTGTTACTTGGAGTCTTACCTTGTTCCACTCGAGTACCACACCCAGCACACATGTAATTCTGTTTGGCCATTATAGTACTTCTTCTGTAAAATGTTCAGTCAAAAAATATTTCAGGAATTTTTTTATAGCAATATGTAGTTAAAGGACAAGGATCCAAAAAGGAAATGGGTCCTATAAAAATGTCAGGATATGAAGATGAGATGTATGCTGTGGAAAATCTATATCATAACTATATCATAAACAATATGTCAGATATCGATACAATGTATTTCAGCTTGGTAAGGATGGCAAAATGTTTATCCTATCAAGAACAAGAAAGCTGCTCAATACATAACAAAAATACTGTGAAAAAGTCATATACATCTGCTATAAAAAAAATGGTCTGACTTAAAATGGCATTACTGTCATGACTTCATACATCTTAATTGCAACAAAAATCATACCGTACAATTTTTACCATAACTATTCTCACTAGATACTGCAAAAAAAGAGACATATTTATAGAAAAAGATTTTATAAAGTATTCTCTTGTTGAGAGTACCATTGTTTATAATATAATGTTTTAATGACTAACATAACACTTTTCTGGAGGAACATTACACATAACATCATACTGAGTGTTACTCACCTATGCTGAGAGTCAACAGGAGTATACTGCCTCTTTAGACAGTTTCTAACACATGTAACACAGTGTTAAATAGAAAGCCTGACACTTTCTCTCCATGATCACTATATAAAGTCACCATGGTTTGTCAAAAGACCAAACAAACATTACTTACTTAGGAGCTGGATGAATATTGAAAATAATCTGCGGTCGTGGAGGTGCCCATTCCAAGTTCCCCCGTAATCTCATCTGGAGCAAGGAAATGGAGTAAATGTAATGAAATGTCCCAGAAATACTGTATCATCTCTTTATATGTACTAAAATCACACTGAAATATTCTTTATATCACAACACTGATAAAGAAATACTGACCAAGAACACAGAGAAAAACTGCCTATTATGAATAGAATGGAACATCATCTTTAGCATTTACAATTTCTGACATTGCAATAATTATCTCTACCCTCTCAGACAATACAATTTTATATCTTTTAACTTGATGATCTGATACATGTTTAACATGATGTTTTATCAATTGGTAGAATAACCTGGCCCCTAATACATGTTTAAAATTATGTTTTATCAATTGGCAGAACGACCAGGCCCCTGATACATGTTTAACATGATGTTTTATCAATTGACAGAACGACCTGGCCACTGATACATGTCTAACACGATGTTTTATCAACTGGCAGAATAACTTTGCCCCTGATACATGTCTAACACAATGTTTTATCAATTGGCAGAATGACCTGGCCCCTGATACATGTTTAACATGATGTTTTATCAGTTAGCAGAACGACCATTTGTAATTCCAGAGTAGGGCGAACCATCATTTATCACCGTATAGAAACTCATCAACTCAACATTACACCAGGTAAAACACAAGTTTCTAAACCTTCCTGAATTACATTACCTTTAATGAACTGGATTTAAGAAGTTCTGTATTTTCTCCATCATCTGGTGATATGGGATAGGAATTTGGCAGTGGAAGCAACTACAACACAACAAACATACACAAGTAGGTGAAAAGTAGAGCATAAAGAAAATACGTATTTATACATACAACAAGATAGATTAGCAAAGTTTTATATTACACAGCAGGCTCTCCTGATTCTCTACAAGCACATTTTAACTCAACCCTTACAAAAATCTCCTGATTACCAGAAACATATCACAGAATTACATGATACTATAACCAAATAAAGTATAGCACACACTTATCAATGAAAAGACCCAAGTAGAATAGTTGCCTTTTATTCAGTATGTCCAAATGACAGCAGTATCTAACTTTCATTTTTAATGTTTCAGTTTTGTATGTTATCATAGGGTTAACCATGATTTTAAAGAAAGTAAAAGAGGATCAATAATTTATTGAACTCTATTTCCAAAAGACCAGTTCTTACAGCATGTGCAAAACTTTTTACACACTCACCAAAAAAAAAAAAAAATTGCTATATTTTCCTTCTTTATTGTACTAAAATTTTCTAATATTTTCATCAAACCAAATTGATTTTTACCAGGCATGTCTTGATGTCAATAACAGTTTGGCACACTATATACCATGAATAATCTTCAATTGGAAATTCTTCATTACAACATTACTTTCCATTTATTTTTATTTAATCAGATAAGAAAAATCTCCAGCTGAAGGAATTTCTGAAGAACCAACATCCTGCAAAGTTGTGTGTTGAAGTTTCATCTTTTAGGCTTCAGGAGGATACCTAGTGGTATATAGAGGTCTCTTAAAAAAGTAGTAAAAAACTGCAAAATATAAAAAGAGAGAACCAAGACATGAAGCCAGGTAAACCAATAGTATATTCTACATTCTTCTACTGCTAATTCCCACTAGTTGTAGAAGTAAGTAGAATTTACGTTTGACCCACCTGGCTTCAGGCGTTTGTGTTATTCTTTATCTTTTGGTAAATTATTTTTAGTTTTATTTAAAATTTTTCCAGAATTATTTTATATCCAACCCCAAAAACATAGCCTGAACTACAAACATCTTTAGACCAAATCACAAGGTAATAGCCCACCTTCTGTGGAGCATCACACTCTGGTACAAGCCACTGTAAGTCAGATGCCTTTGGGAGCTGTTTCTCTGTAAACTTCTTCAGTAAAGATATGGCAACTGACTCAGCTGAGTGGGACACAACTCCACTATCCAAGGAGCTGGGTAAAAGATAATGCATAAAAGTGAGAGCATATTTGTGAATTTTATACAGGAGTACAGCTATATATTTAAAAAGCTAAATTTGCAGGAGACTAGAGGCCTAGCGGCCTTGACAGTCATCTGAGTTAAGCAATATCAATTATAAAGGTCAAAGGGTAAATAGCTTTCAAGTGTCATGAACCAGAAATAATGACATTGATGATCGTAAGCCAGTGTCAATACATGCACACAATCAAATCTGTCATCCTATACTAATAATTCTTGCAATGTTATTTCCAAAGGGAAATAAAAAAATTATCTTCAAAAATGCAATTTTTCTATAAAGTTACAGTAACGCTAACCTCATCCCCTGGAAGAATGTGGGACCCGTTTTGGTAATTAAAGCACATAAAGACGCATCCATCTATGGAGAGCATTTGATTCTACCATACCTGGGTGCTGAGAAACAAATTTTGGAAATTTAAGTCAATTTGACCCCTTTTGGCCCCGCCCAGTCAGGATCAATACATGCATACTACATAGCTGTCATCCCTCACTCATAACTCTAACCAAGTTTGAAATATTTCCAATGACATTTAACCATCCCCAAGGGGAAATGTAATATCCTGGGGCCATGAAATTCACAATTTTGGTAAAGCACCTTAAGATTCTTCCATTTGATTCTATCAAAACTGGGTGTTGAGAAACACATTTTGGAAATTTGAGTCAATTTGACCCTTTCAGCCCCATCCCTCAGGCCCCTGTGGGGACTGTTTAATTCACTATTTTTGTCCAAGGAAGATCTCAACAAAATTTCATTGAAATCTGAGAGACTTTGTCTCAGATGAACTAAATTTAAAAATGAAAATTTGCATATATAAAAAGAGCAAGAGAAATGTTTGTATGTTACACATGTCACTCCCCTGTATAACTGAAACAGAAAAGGAGTGGTCTTACCTTTGTTTTTCTACACTGGCATTACTTTTCTGTATATCAGCATCTGTAACCAAATAAAGCCAAATCTTTATTTCACCATCCTTGAAAATCAACACTGTCAGTTTCAATCATCCAGACAAGTAATGTGATAACACAACCTACCTCAGTACAGGGGACAGTGATGTAATAACACAACCTACCTCAGTACAGGGAGGCCAGAGATAGAGACAGTGATGTAATAACACAACCTACCTCAGTACAGGGAGGCCAGAGATAGGGACAGTGATGTAATAACACAACCTACCTCAGTACAGGGAGGCCAGAGATAGAGACAGTGATGTAATAACACAACCTACCTCAGTACAGGGAGGCCAGAGATAGAGACAGTGATGTAATAACACAACCTACCTCAGTACAGGGGACAGTTATGTAATAACACAACCTACCTCAGTACAGGGAGGCCAGAGATAAGGACAGTAATGTAATAACACAATCTACCTCAGTACAGGGAGGCCAGAGATAGGGACAGTGATGTAATAACACAACCTACCTCAGTACAGGGAGGCCAGAGATAGGGACAGTGATGTAATAACACAACCTACCTCAGTACAGGGAGGCCAGAGATAGGGACCGTGATGTAATAACACAACCTCCCTGAGTACAGGGACGCCAGAGATAGGGACAGTGATGTAATAACACAACCTACCTGAGTACAGGGAGGCCAGAGATAGGGACAGGCCTTGGGAAGATAACAACGACAAGTTGGACTGCTTCTGGCTGACATCTTCTGTCACTGAAATTAATCACATACTCAAATATTCATTCATTAAATACATTAACTGGGTAATTGAATTCTCAAAGCTCAAACATATAAATTATGTGTTGAATATGTTACATATGAATACATGTTATTCATTACTAAAACTTTCATCTGTAAAACTAAATTTAATAACTTGGATTGTATCAGTAAAATATGCTATTTCAGACTCGTAGGTCAGTCACAACATGAAGGTTAGATCATCTATTTTAATGTTTTAATGTGTCCATCATTGAACTTGACAAAGTTAAACTACAAGACTTGAAGATACCACACCTCTGAATATACTACTGTCTTTTCCCCAAGAAGTATTAATAAATCTTTCTCTGTTAAAACAGCATAAGTTCGCCTAGGAAGTATTAGATGAGTATTGTTTAGTAAATCAATATCCATCAATGATGATAAGAAAACTTCCAAATATATTATTTAAACAGGTCTGTTTACTGGTCTAGGTTTCACACCATCATTACTGATCAGAAAGGCAATTTTATAGATTTTTTATTTCAAAACAATGCAGAAATTTCATAATTTACTATAAAGTCCTCTAAATTTCTATATAAGCACAATAACGTTTTGGTATGTTCTCCATAATGTCCTCCTGTATTCTTTTGTTACTGTTATTTCAACTTTCTGCAATTATTCAACAAAGACTTCAGTTCAGAGTGACATTAAAACATCTTTGAATGATCGCAAAGGATGAACTTGATACAAAAACATCCTTGCTATTGTCAAATGAATATACTGAAGTCATACAGTATTTATATGCTAAACAGATTTCAATTCACTGATTTGACACCAGGTCAATGATCTTAACACACGTCTTTAAGTTTCTTACTTGATAACTCTATTCTTCCTTCATCCAAATCACTTGACTCAGAGCTGTCTGCAAATTTATAAAAAAAACAAATATTATGAAATTGTTACAATTTACATTTGTGTATACTGTTACCACAACTGTGTAACAATAGATTACAAGTTATAACTGTGTAACAGTAAATTACAAGTTACAGCCATGTAACAGTTAATTACAAGTTACAGCTATATAACAGTTAATTACAAGTTATAACTGTGTAACAGTAAATTATAAGTTATAATTACGTAACAGTAAATTACAAGTTATAATTGTGTAACAGTAAATTATAAGTTATAACTGTGTAACAGTTAATTACAAGTTATAATTGTGTAACAGTAAATTATAAGTTATAACTGTGTAACAGTTAATTACAAGTTACAACTGTGTAACAGTTAATAACAAGTTATAATTGTGTAACAGTTAATTACAAGTTACAACTGTGTAACAGTAAATTATAAGTTATAACTGTGTAACAGTTAATTACAAGTTATAATTGTGTAACAGTAAATTATAAGTTATAACTGTGTAACAGTTAATTACAAGTTACAACTGTGTAACAGTTAATTACAAGTTATAATTGTGTAACAGTTAATTACAAGTTACAACTGTGTAACAGTAAATTACAAGTTACAGCCATGTAACAGTTAATTACAAGTTATAATTGTGTAACAGTTAATTACAAGTTACAACTGTGTAACAGTAAATTATAAGTATAACTGTGTAACAGATTATAATTGTGTAACAGTTAATTACAAGTTACACTGTGTAACAGTTAATTACAAGTTACAACTGTGTAACAGTAAATTATAAGTTATAACTGTGTAACAGTTAATAACAAGTTATAATTGTGTAACAGTTAATTACAAGTTATCACTGTGTAACAGTAAATTATAAGTTATAACTGTGTAACAGTTAATTACAAGTTATAATGTGTAACAGTTGTTACAAGTTACAACTGTGTAACAGTAAATTACAAGTTACAGCCATGTAACAGTTAATTACAAGTTATAACTGTGTAACAGTTAATTACAAGTTACAGCCATGTATCAGTTAATTACAAGTTACAACTGTGTAACAGTAAATTATAAGTTATAACTGTGTAACAGTTAATTATAAGTTATAACTGTGTAACAGTAAATTATAATTGTGTAACAGTTACTGTGTAACAGTTAATTACAAGTTATAACTGTGTAACAGTAAATTACAAGTTATAACTGTGTAACAGTTAATTATAAGTTATAACTGTGTAACAGTTAATTACAAGTTACAACTGTGTAACAGTAAATTATAAGTTATAACTGTGTAACAGTTAATTACAAGTTATAACTGTGTAACAGTAAATTATGTGTAAGTTATAACTGTGTAACAGTTAATTATAAGTTATAACTGTGTAACAGTTAATTATAAGTTATAACTGTGTAACAGTTAATTACAAGTTATAAATTACAAGTTATAACTGTGTAACAGTTAATTACAAGTTACAGCTGTGTAACAGTAAATTACAAGTTACAGCTGTGTAACAGTTAATTACAAGTTACAGCTGTGTAACAGTTAATTACAAGTTATAACTGTGTAACAGTTAATTACAAGTTATAACTGTGTAACAGTTAATTACAAGTTATAACTGTGTAACAGTTAATTATAAGTTATAACTGTGTAACAGTTAATTATAAGTTATAACTGTGTAACAGTTAATTATAAGTTATAACTGTGTAACAGTAAATTATAAGTTACAACTGTGTAACAGTTAATTACAAGTTACAACTGTGTAACAGTAAATTACAAGTTACAACTGTGTATATTATTATAACTGTGTAACAATTAATTACAAGTTATATTATTACAAACGAGATTGGAAGATGCATCAATTTATCAATAATACAAACACTTGTATATGTATGTACAGATCCTGTTATCCTATTTATAATTTTTAAAAGATTTTTTATCGTGTGTTCTTTTTTAAATTGAAATATTTAGAAATCATAACACTGATGAATAAAAGAGGAACAAATCAAGTACATAAAACATGATACACTACTACAAATTTAACAATATAAAATTACAAATGGGATTTGGATTTGCATCTCAAATAAAATCATGCATTTGTGACATATATAAACAGGTAAACAATTTTGGCAAATAACAATAATGGAACGTTCAGGAAGAAAGTCTTCATCAAATTAAATCTTACATGTAACTGACCTAATAGAACTGGTCACACCATATGACATTTTTCCCAATGATAACATTTCATGATTTTAACAACTGATGTTTTCTATATTTTTCTGAAAATAACATAGATGGTTCATTGGTATGCTACTTTGTTACAATCGTTACATTGATGGGAATGATCCTTTCAGCCAGATGTCAACCTGGGAATTAAGTGACAGAACAACAGTTGAAATACAACTTACAGACAACTGTCTCTTATCACTAAACAGACTATTGACCTTGATTTCTGACTTTCCAGAATATCTAAAGGCCCTCACTTTACATGAAGTAAGTTCCAGTTTTGAGAAGAACAACAAAAAACTTCAATCTGTAACAGGTCCTGTTTGTCCCCTTATATGTAGTTTCACAATACCATGTCTAAGATAAAATGGATGGGAAAATATTACAGTTGGTACATGTGATATTGTATGTCTCCTCCCCTCTCTCCTTCAACATTAGTGGAGAAACCAACCAATGCAATGAACTTCAAATCTCAAAAATCCAAATTAAAATAACAACTAGTTAGAAAGTAATAATAACCAAAGATAGATAATAAAATTGCTTGTAAATTGAATATACCTATAATTAAGTGGAAGTCAAGAAGAAAATACAAAAAAAATATCATTACTGAGAACAGAAGAAGTTCCAGTAGTAGTGAAAAGCAATGTCACAGTGGTCAGTAGAGCTACCACCATTTTATTTCACTTCAACAGTAATTATTAACACATTATTACAATACTAGAACAGCTAATATTTCATTATAAATAGTTCCTGTTCTCTCAGCTAATATTTCATTATAAATAGTTCCTGTGCTTTTAGCTAATATTTCATTATAAATAGTTCCTATGCTTTCAGCTAAAATTTCAATATAAATAGTTCCTGTGCTCTCAGCTAATATTTCATTATAAAAAGTTCCTATGCATTCAGCAAATATTTCATTATAAATATTTCCTGTGCTCTCAGCTAATATTTCATTATAAATAGTTCCTGTGCTCTCAGCTAATATTTCATTATAAATAGTTCCTGTGCTCTCAGCTAATATTTCATTATAAATAGTTCCTGTGCTTTCAGCTAATATTTCATTATAAATAGTTCCTGTGCTTTCAGCTAATATTTCATTATAAATAGTTTCTGTGCTCTCAGCTAATATTTCATTATAAATAGTTCCTGTGCTCTCAGCTAATATTTCAATATAAATAGTTCTTGTGCTCTCAGCTAATATTTCAATATAAATAGTTCCTATGTTTTAAGTTAATATTTCATTATAAATAGTTCTTGTGCTCTCAGCTAATATTTCATTGTAAATAGTTCCTGTGCTTTCAGCAAATATTTCATTATAAATAGTTCCTGTGCTCTCAGCTAATATTTCATTATAAATAGTTCCTGTGCTCTCAGCTAATATTTCAATATAAATAGTTCCTGTGCTCTCAGCTAATATTTCATTATAAATAGTTCCTATGTTTTAAGTTAATATTTCATTATAAATAGTTCTTGTGCTCTCAGCTAATATTTCATTGTATATAGTTCCAATGCTTTCAGCTAATATTTCATTATATATAGATCCAATGCTTTCAGCTAATATTTCATTATAAATAGTTCCTGTGCTCTCAGCTAATATTTCATTATAAATAGTTCCTGTGCTCTCAGCTAATATTTCATTATATATAGATCCAATGCTCTCAGCTAATATTTCATTATATATAGATCCAATGCTTTCAGCTAATATTTCATTATAAATAGTTCCTGTGCTCTCAGCTAATATTTCATTATAAATAGTTCCTGTGCTCTCAGCTAGTATCTCATTATAAATAGTTCCTATGCATTCAGCTAGTATTTCATTATATATAGATCCAATGCTTTCAGCTAATATTTCATTATAAATAGTTCCTATGCAATCAGCTAATATTTCATTATAAATAGTTCCTATACATTCAGCTAATATTTCATTATAAATAGTTCCTATGCATTCAGCTAATATTTCATTATAAATAGTTCCTGTGCTCTCAGCTAATATTTCATTATAAATAGTTCCTGTGCTCTCAGCTAATATTTCATTATAAATAGTTCCTATGCATTCAGCAAATATTTCATTATAAATAGTTCCTGTGCTCTCAGCTAATATTTCATTATAAATAGTTCCTGTGCTCTCAGCTAATATTTCATTATAAATAGTTCCTATGTTTTAAGTTAATATTTCATTATAAATAGTTCTTGTGCTCTCAGCTAATATTTCATTGTAAATAGTTCCTGTGCTTTCAGCAAATATTTCATTATAAATAGTTCCTGTGCTCTCAGCTAATATTTCATTATAAATAGTTCCTGTGCTCTCAGCTAATATTTCAATATAAAAAGTTCCTGTGCTCTCAGCAAATATTTCATTATAAATAGTTCCTGTGCTCTCAGCTAATATTTCATTATAAATAGTTCCTTTGCTCTCAGCTAATATTTCAATATAAATAGTTCCTATGCATTCAGCTAATATTTTATTACAAATAGTTCCTTTGCTTTCAGCTAATATTTCATTATAAATAGTTCCTGTGCTTTCAGCTAATATTTCATCATAAATAGTTCCTGTGCTTTCAGCTAATATTTCATTATAAATAGTTCCTGTGCTTTCAGTTAATATTTCATTATAAATAGTTCCTTTGATTTCAGCTAATATTTCATTATAAATAGTTCCTGTGCTTTCAGCTAATATTTCATTATAAATAGTTCCTGTGCTTTCAGCTAATATTTCATTATAAATAGTTCCTGTGCTTTCAGCTAATATTTCATTATAAATAGTTCCTGTGCTTTCAGCTAATATTTCATTATAAATAGTTCCTGTGCTTTCAGCTAATATTTCATTATAAATAGTTCCTGTGCTTTCAGCTAATATTTCATTATAAATAGTTCCTGTGCTTTCAGTTAATATTTCATTATAAATAGTTCCTGTGCTTTCAGTTAATATTTCATTATAAATAGTTTCTGTGCTTTCAGTTAATATTTCATTATAAATAGTTTTTATGCTTTATTATTAAGCTCTACACATGAATTGAAAAATAGGTTGTTCCCTAGCAACGTCACAAACCTGGGTGGTCTGGCGAGTCAACAGAGGAACTGAGTGTAGAAGAGGGAGTGCTCTGACTTGTAGTAGCTACACAAATAAAAATACAGCACACAATATTTAACAACAGAAATCAAATTATCAAAAAATTTTTTTAGTCCCACAATCACCACTGAGAATGGCATTACTAAAACATAAATATCTCTATCATATACTGATTCTTAATTCGACTTCTGTTTGCTTTCATTCTTTTTTATTTTGCTTGTAATTTCTTGAATGAAAAATTAGCATCATGCCATCGGTATGGTGAAAATTGTGAGACTAGACAAAAATGTCTGTCTTGTTTAAAGCAGCAACAAGCAGTTCAAAGTCTATGTGCATACCTTATTACATAGATTTATCCTGTGATTAAATTTATCAGCTTTCATACAATTTTTTTAAGTTTGATTTCTGAAACCAGTTTTCTGTGGCAGTATTAACTGCCTTGATGGAACCCAGATTTTTTCCTAGTATCAATATGAGTTTGTTTGCTGACTTTGAACAAGCACATAAAAAGTAACACATATTTACAAAAAGTTTACCTCAAAACATAAAAAGTAAAAAGCAGCACTTAATTCTGGAATACATAAGAATATGAAGGTAGTTTACAAAGTGAATGGAGAATAGTGAAAAACAGGGTTACAAATAAAAAGAAAGCCAAAAAGTTTTGTATTATAGTGACCAAGTTAACAATAAGTGTTTACAGAACAATGCTTAAGCACTGACGTTACACACAAGCAATGACTGTGTATGCTTACTGTCTGTTCTTCCATCACTGAAGGCAGGGAAACCACGTCCTTTCTGTAGAGAAATGTTCAATAAAGGTATTCTTAAATCAAAGATATAATTCCAAATGTAAACAAGTACCTTTGTTTTGACAGCTATCTCTGAATGTTAACCTGTGTGAAACTCCTTCTGGTAATAAGTCCAAAAATGTATAAATTGATGTTATGATACTATGGTGTGAAAATGAAACAAATCATTGTATATATTTAGGACACAATCTTTTTTATTGCATAAGGTGTCAAATGCAACCTTTGAACTTTAACCTACATGAATGACCAACACAACCTCAACAGGTGTTAAATTTGATGCTATGACACTATGGTGTATATATATGAACCTTAAATCTTGACTGATGATGAAAAAATCAGCAGAGAAGATTAACATAGTATAATTTCCCAATTAATACAAATATAATTCAATAATAGTATATTTATGAGGAATTCGAACAAAACTGAAAAATGTCTTACTTCCTTTAAACGTTCTCGTTTGCGTATGCGTATTCGTTGTTTGAGTTCTTGGATTTCCTCATCCGAGTCGCCTTCATCCTCTTCACGGGTTTGGGGACTTATGATGTGGTTCCACTTCATTTGCTCAATAGCTGCAATCAGTGCTTCCGAAATGCTGAAGTGGGCATTTTCCTAAAGAAAAAATTCACTAAACCTCAAAAACTCTGTTGTAATTGAAACATAGCACTTAAATCTTCTACTGGTTGTGTTATAAGAACTTCTATTGAAAAAAAAATTCCTAAATTTACTTGCATGTTTCTCTGCCTGTCTGGTTTTCTGATTTGTACTGAAGGCCAATCATTTGTGCACTACACTTCATGTCACCTTGTCAAACATAGCTTTGTTACCTAATGCAATTTACATCAACACACTTGGCCTATCACATGCAACAGTACACACCTTGTCTAGTTAAGTATGTCTGATACTCACCTTGTCTAGATTAGCACAGGTGTGGAAGTCCTGTGAGGACAGGTAATTTATGAGGGACTGGCCCTGCTGCGGCTGGGGAAAGTAGCTATCACGTGCTGCAGATCTTCGTCGATGTTCACTTCCTGATATAGTTAGATAAATGAAATTGTCAGATTGTTCAAACTGAAGTTATGTAATTCTCCTATTATCAATATAGAAACGGAAACATGTAGAAAAAGATCTTTGTTGTCTGTTGGCCTTATCCTTTCCTTGATTTTCTAGATATCTTTATATTAATGCATAAAATGAAAAATTACCCCAACAATATCACTCTTCCCAGTGGCATGGAAAATTTGTTTGATATTTTACTGTACTTGTTTCAAAAGATTACAAACTAAATCTGAAAGGAATAGAAAGTCTCCAGTTTCAGTCTTGAAAAAACACCAAAGAGATAAAAAAAAAAAATCATGTGGTCTATTTGGGGAGTTCAGATGTCTGTACTACCATGTAATCATTTTCCTGGTTTGATCAGAATACCACATGTACAAAGGAGACATTGAGTTAAATCTGTGAAGTCCAGCTTCTCAGCATCCCTCTGTTTCCAGAAATTGCAAAATCTGGAGTTATTTTGTAAATAATGAATGTGTTCAGGTGTCAGCTCTATACGTGTACATGTATTTGGCTAAAGATGAACTTTTTCAGCAACAAATCAAAACACATAACCTTTGAAGTGAAATGGTGACAATGCAACAGGTCCTACTGGCAAAGAAACACCATAGTGGTATAAATATTGCTTCGCTTTTACAACTTTTTATTGCAAGAAAAAACAATAGACAAAAGGGAACCAGCACTATATAAGAATATTAAAGAATATCCATTAACTTGAATGAAGGATGGTTTTTATTTTCTAAAATATAGTGGTAATACTTTGTATAAGTTTAATTATATCCTTTCAATCAGCTTCTCAAAGAGTATAAATATTTGAAAAATCGAGATTTTATAACTTTTTCAGGACAGTGCAATATCTTTAAGTACATATCTTGTTTGTGATACAAATATTAAATTATCTTTCACATGTGTAATATCTAACAGTTCTTTTCATAGTATCTCAGGAAATATGAGGACAAAATTCAATATCAAAATTCAACATAACCATCTGTAGGTTATCATGGATTTCTGATCAATCTCAGAAGATAAGAAATCAAAGACAGCTGTCTGTCAGCCATCTTTCACATTTGGCTAGCTTTTTTTATTTGTGCATTACAGGTATGTTCTAGAATCTGCTCTAGATCTTCGTTTAAAATTCCATTCCAATTTAATGTGATTATATCATATCTCAATGACTGATACCTCTTAAATCCATTATCTAGAATAACTTACGTTGACCATTGCTTCCCAGTGTAAGTGCTTTTTCTGAATCCAGCATTTTTCCATCTACCGAATCAGTAACAATGTTTTTCACACCAAAATCTGACCTTGACCTCTTGTGACCTAGTTTTTTGCCGGGAGAGGATTTTGCCTTGTCTTCGGAGGTCTTCTTTTGAGGTCTGCTTTCTGAGTCTGAGAAAATGTCCTCAGGTTTACATTTCTTTCTTATTTTTTTCTCAGATAAATTAATGTCAATTTTCCCATTGGAGACACCAGGCTTACTCAAACCCATTACAGTTTCAGACTGACTTCGAAGCAATATTTTATTTTGTTGTTTGCCATTTTTAGTTTCTTCACTTGTATCGAAGGGATCTGACTGTTCCTGATTGAAATCCATGTTCCGTAAAGGATCACTGTTGATGCTATTATAAAAACTGAACTCTCCATTTGTTGACTCAAACAATTGTAAATCATGGGTTGGGGATTCTGAGCCAGACTTTCGTAGAACTGTTCTTAATGCTTCTTTTGCTAAAGCAGTAGTTTCCTGCGGGCTTCCTGTGGATCCTGTAACGCAGAATACATTAATGTAGTCACTATTTTTTCACACCAACAGATCTTTGTAAGGTTATTATTACATGCCTTATAATTGAAATGTTTGGCTTTATAGCAAGACTTATTAACTAAATATAAACTTTCAGCAATGACTTTGTTGCGAACATCTATTATCAAAGAGCCCAATGTTTAACTCTTTTTAGAGTCTGCACTGAACTGTTATAGGCAGTACTGATAAAAAAACAAAGAGCACCTTGATGGCAGAAATCTCTCTAAAAGCCTAACTTGTGCTTGTTAATGAAGGAATACAATTATTATTACCTGTAAGTTGCCATAAAATTCAATTCTTTTAATCATTTATCCAGACGAATGCTGAAAATCTTTACCTATGCTAGATGGCAGAGCATATTCATCTGATTTACATAGGATACTTTCTCTCTTGGGTGATGTAAAATGAGGAGCTAACGCCAGTGCCCCCTGTTGGTATGAACTTCGCCTGGTAGGATCATGAACTGGTGCTGAGCTACTCATCATCAAAGGAGCACTTGATGTCCGGCCATGGTTTAACTAGCAAACAAAAATATCATTTCCTCATAACATGCCCTGTTTCAATAATAAAAAAACTATTTTATGACAAAAAGAAAACAGGGACCCCCTTACAATACCTGCTTTTAATCTTGACAGCTGACCACCAAACTCTACTCAGGTGTAATGCTATGGTACTAGTAAGGGGTGAATTTATTGAGGGATTCATGAGACAAGTATCTTTCATATACAACCTTTTTTACTTCAGAAGGGGTAAAGTATGACCTTGGAATTTTACCCTTGATCAATGACATCTAATCAGGTATGTAACTTGATGGTATGATGTATATGTGATACAAATCTGTGGAGGGTTTCTTAAGCTATCTTATACAAACAGCTTTGTACAGATGCACCAACCAATGGATCACAGATGTAATTATTCTGTATATACTTCTTATGAGAAGAGGAATTAATCAAGCTTCAAGCCTGTTTTCCAACCTCCTTTATTTAGATACTAGATACACACTTCCTCCCCCCCCCCCAGCCTACAAAATCAGAAAGGGCTATCAGCTATGTATAATACACAATAAAGCAGGGAATTTTCCTTAAATATATATCATATTGTATTTTCCTGATAATAAACCATACCTTTTTAACTTCATGGGTTAAGCATATGGCTTATATACCGGTGCGGGTTATATGTGGACCAAAAAAAAATTGGCAGAATGAAAAAATGGACTAGTATGAGATATTACTATTTCTTTTATTTCTTTTACGAGTACCTGCCCATCACATGTTTGTGACTGAAACAGATCATGTAGAACCATCACTTGCAATCATATTCAGGATAATTTGCAAAATGCAATAAAAAAAACAATCTCATAAATTTAATTATATTATACTGTTTAATATGAATCATAATAATATCTTCATGTAGTTACTTTACAGCAATTACAGAAAGGCATGGCGGGAGTTAACAATAGCCTATTGCACCTGGAACTGATAGGTCATCAGGTGATAATTCAAATTCTAGAACGACCATCTAGAAGAAATATAATGGGATTATAAGAATTTGGTCAGCATGCAGGTGGCCTTCAAAAATATTCAACAGTACAGACACCAATGGAAAGGTTTTTTAGTAAACCATATGTAATGCAGGACCTATATCTGTGCATAGACAATCTTTGAAGGCCCTAAGACAAACAAATTTAATTTTTGCTATTTCATGGATTGATTTTTAAAATGCATCAATAAAACAAAGACTTATTTGTGCATAATTGATTTGAAACTTATATTAAAAGTTCTACTGATGATCTTTCTGTGATATTGACAAAGTTTGGTCTACATAACAGTTACCACATTGTAAGAAAGGGTGCAGCTTATAATCCAGGGCGGCTTATTCACATATATAATCCATTAAGATTAAGACTATTAGACTGATACAAAATACTTACAAGACCTAAATCCAACTCTGCTAGTAAGGCTACCTTGTTCTGTTCAACAGCCTGAAGACAGGTACTCAGTGAGTTATAGTAATCTCTACTTCGCAGAAACGCATGATCTGTGGGTTGAAAAATACAACAGCAAATGTGTTTTATCTGTCAGTTTACTTGCATGCTCAGAATCTATACTTTTTACCTGTTTGTGACAAAATTCAAATGTTCATTCTACAATATAGATTTGTCTTTCTTTCTTGTTCTTCACAGTTTTATTTTTAAACTGTTGACAATTATATTTTGGACATAAAATCAGTACAATCACCATAAATAACACAATTACTGGTACCTTGAAATAGTCTTTTCAGATGAGTAATGTCAATAGAAGTTGTTATTTCAACACAACAAGAAGAAGATTTAGAAGATACAATTGTGACATTTTGGTGATTTCAACATCACCTTCATCAGACAAATGACCAATGAGAAGTGTTCTAGCACTGATATACAAAGTGTATGAGGTGGTAAGCAATTGACTAATCCACCAACAGCATAGAATTCAGGTAGTAATCCCTAACATTATAGGCCTGACAGAAGGACAGGGAGTCATCCCTAACGTTATAAGCCTGTCAGAAGGACAGGTAGTCATCACTAACGTTAAAGGCCTGTCAGAAGGACAGGTAGTCATCCCTTATGTTATAGGCCTGTCAGATGGACAGGTAGTCATCACTAACGTTATAAGCCTGTCAGAAGGACAGGTAGTCATCCCTTATGTTATAGGCCTGCCAGAAGGACAGGTAGTAATCCCTTACATTATAGGCCTGATAGAAGGACAGGTAGTCATCCCTAACTTTAAAGGCCTGACAGAAGGACAGGTAGTAATCCCTTATGTGATAAAGGCCCCTTTTATAGGCCTGATAGAAGGACAAATCTTTTTAGGACTTAAAATATTCCCTTATGTTAAAGGCCTATTGTAACAATCATGAAAGGCTGACAGAAATCTTTTTGGACTCTCTGAAATCATGAAACTTTCCAAGACTCTCTGAAATATCCTAGTTCATCCTAAGGATATAACACCTAAAGAGAACATCACAGAATGCGTATACAAAATCAGATGCAAGAACTGCAATGCATCCTACATTAGAGAAATGGGCATGAGATTTAGGTGTGATTTAACGAACAACAGAATCATTATATAATTCCAAGAAGGCAAGAAATCATGAGATTACAGCAAAAGCATTCTCAGTTCAAGATGAATAAATCAGCCCTTATAAATCTTTCTACACAGCAAAACCATATCATTGACTGGGAAAATTCCAAACTAGTTGACAGGGAAATCAGCCTTTTCAGCCGGCTGTCAAGGATTATCTGGATATGCTACAGTGGGTAAGTACTAAACAGTGATGAGGAGGTCGCAGACTATATCACATATCCATGACAAAGTGTTAAACAAAGCATAGCCAAATTGATTGCAGTACATTTATATTATCTTGTGTTTCTATAATCTTTTTGTCATCTTGTCACACTATTTTTGATGTTAGTATGCAAAGGATTATAGCACAGTGAAAACAATTGCTTGATTCCTTACTATCTCTTACACTACATACATAAGTGCTAGCATGCTTCATATTATCTGATGATGGTGACTGTGTAGTCATCAAAATGTTACACTTCAATCTTCTGCTGGTAAGAACATCTACTCTTAAACATACATATTCAGGTCTTTAACCAACAGTTTTACCCCTGCTCTAAGGCAGGATGAAACATCATGTACGAAATAAAACATCTACATAAAAATATGAATAGAATTTTGTTACTATTCTGTAACTAAGCCAACAGGTATCAGGCTTATGAACTTTGATGTATAAATGTAATAAGTAGTGCATTAGTGGTCCTTTACCAATGACTCAAATTAGGGGGATGAGCTCAATACAGGACAATGTTATAACAATCTTAAGAAACTTGAACCAAAGTGAGAGGGTTGATCCCCAATAGATAATTTAATTTCATCTTGTATTTTACCATAGTAGTATTTCTCCAGGTGTTTTCTGTGATTAACAAGTGTGTTCAGCAGACTGGACAGGTTATGCTCGTTCAGACTTTCTCTGACCCAAATACGTCCCTTGCTAGTGTCTGGTGTGGTTTGTGATTGTCGGTTTATTTTCTCTATAGCTGGAGCAAGAACAGGGTTGAGTCGTTTCAATCCTTGAACAAATGGCCAAAAGTCCAACTGACTGCCAAAATCCCCCTAAAGAAAACATGTTATTATCATGATCAGTAACAAGAAGAAAATAAGGAATTTAAAACTGTATGATTGACACAGGAAAATTGGAATGCCATAGGTCTCAAACACATTTATCAACAACACAAACATCACTGATACATGGATGGATATGTTGTTGTTGTAGTAGTATTATCACCCACCTTGATGGCTAACCTATTTAAATATGACAGTATATATATAGTGACATACCTGTATATGTATACAGTATGATGTACCTGTATATACATTTGCAATATGACTTAAATGTATTTGTGTACAGTATAACCTACAGCTACATACATCAATATTACCTATACATAGCTGAACCTATCTATGTATTCAGTATCACCTACCTGTAGAGTATAACATATCCTGTGTTTATGTACAGTATGACCTGCTGGTATCTATATACAGTATTCCCTACCTGCATAACCTTCCTTTATACAGACAGGCGTACCTGTATGCTGCCTTACCTGTGTACTTTTGAGGCCATGATACAGGATAAGTTCCACCTGTTTACAAACACGAGACAGTCCACCATAGGTGTTCCATACGTTGTTGGTGTGTGTAGCAAGTAGGCCCTCAACAATTGATTTCAATCCATTGATCAGGTCATGTTTCTCAAATCTTTTAACAGAACAATAACAAAGTCTTTATAGAAACATAAATATCAATCTTGCTTGATAAACAGAAAAAATTGTTGACAGCATGTTCATTCAAAATGCATTTATGATGACAAATCAGAGAACACTAACCATAGTCTAAACACGACTAGATCCATATAAAATAGATGGGGTTTCTTATTTAGAAATTACTACCCGTACACGCATAATAAAATGTAACATATAAATGCAATTCATCAAGTTCATAAATTTTCCTAGTAATTCTAAATATGTTTGATGATTATCTGATTATTCAAAAAATATTATCAGAATATTCCACTTCTGGATAGCAATATTCCTACTTGGTCAACTTATAGTGTTTACAAGTTGCTGTTAATATGAAATTCAAAAGCTTCAAAGGGAACAGTATTTCTAAGTTGTGTTGATCATATTACAGCACGCAATACACTAAGGAATGAGCTTCTACATGAAAAATGGGTAAATACAGCTTTATTACAATTTGTCTAATCATATCCATTACTGTTTTCCAGGACTTCATAATTTTTCTTGATTTACCATTGATGTTGAAGTAACTGTTTTAAAAGTGTGTATAGATTTGATGACTGCAATGATGGCTGTGTCAATGCCTCATATATAGCCTTTTTATGAATTGCCATGATTTGGGGGCAGAGCTACACCTTGCATCAATAATAGCATAACAGGAAGCAGATTTCAATTCTTTAATTATCATATAGCGTGGATGCTTACTTATTATTTTATCTCTGTCATAATGGCATGTCATAACAACTGTCCCATCACTTCAAACTCAAAAGTAAGTTCTTGATCTGGTGTCTAGTTTATAAAAATTGATTTTGTCATCAGAAGATGGTGTATGTGTATAATAAGACTCTAGTACAGTTAAGAGTGGATGACATTTATTTTGCTAGACAAGTGCACTGGTAAAGATGTTAATTGTTAGGGTTTAGTGGTACTGCAAACAGTAACTTACTGATGAAGTGAATGAATATTCCATGTGTAGTTGGCCAAAAGATACAGAGAGAATTTTTTTGAAACTTTCTAAATGTTGGAACCTTACATCTTCTTCTACCGAGTAATTCCAAATTGTTTTCTTCATCAACGTAATGTTGGTGAGATAGGCCAAATAGAAAAAACACACTTACATGTAACCGTTGTTATTGTTGCCCTAAATATAATAACACATGTACAGGGACGGCTAATTTGACAGACTTCATGTGATATAGGAGTATAGACGTGTACTTCTCAGTTTTCCGTACCAAAGACGACTGATTTTTTTCATCGAATGTTCATCTCAACCCCCAAAACGCCAAATAACCTTTTAAACAGGTCAAGATATGTTCACAAAATGTAGCAAATTATTAGGTCCCGGAGTCATCATGTCTTCGTCATAATCAGCAGACGTCACATGTTGTATCGGAACACATGAAACGCATAGGCGGCGTAACACATTCATCACAAACCGTATGGCACATGTAGACTATGGCATGCATGTTTTTATTTTTATGTAATGTAGATCTTTAGCTGAGACACAGAATGGCATTGCTAAACATTTCATGGTCACGCCTACCTGTGTTCAAAATCCTCATCGTCATCCGCCATTTTTGTTTACACTTTCTGACATGTAGCCGAACTTTCGTATTAGTTGGTTAAATTTGAGTGTTGTTAAGGTTTTAATGAAATATTCTTGATAGCTGGTTTTTCGTGATTAAGAATATGTTGTATTTATAGATACTTTAAAAATAATGCGTACATATTTAGACTGAGCAGGCTACTTGAGCAGTTATCTCCCCTACTTTTTTTACTTCTCTTATGTGGAATCAAGAAAACAACGATCAAATAACTTTTAATTAAGTGGCAAACAAACATATTTGTCAAATCGCCAGGAATTATTTTTAAGCCTCTGAATGAAAAGTGAGAAAAGTAATGTTAAAAAAACATTTGAAATGTTGAACATTTCTTAGTTAAGATTAACACGGACGTAAGTAGCCTAACACCTCCGGTTAAGATGAAGCTTCAAATAGCCTAATTAACGAATTTTTGACCACGAGAAAATACTCTGGTTAAATTTTTTTATGTTAACAAATTTTGTAAGTTGAAAAAAGGAGCAAACACCGATACTTTTTAAATGACCATTTATCTTCTTCTCATAAAAATCTTTGAACTGTATCGGATGTAAACCGAATCGGCTTGATTTAATAAGATACATTATGGACGCAGGCTGTCGGCCTCAATATCGATGCATACAACGAAGTTACATAATATAAGATACTTCCTGTGTCAAATGTATTTAAACGAAAATCTTAAAGTTTTATTATAATGTTTACTCTATTCATCAAAACCAATTTCAAATGTATTATATCAGGGGGATCTATTACACACTGAGGAAGATCTGTTCCACATGTCAACACAGAAAGTAAAGGCATTTTCCCCTATATCAAGATGACAGTGGGTTTTTTTAAAGCTGGTGTGAATACCTAATCCTTCTACTACTAACGTCGCGCTTAAGCACGCTTTCAGACACTCTATGAGTATGAAAGTTTTTCATACTCTTAAACACGTTTATTAGGTATCTTCGCACGCCTCGGTGCCTCAGGGTTGATAGATTTAATCTCTGCAGACGCCATGTATACGTCATATTTTTATGTGCAAGTATGACCTTGGTAGCGAGGACGTTTTAAACTAAATAATATCCTTGCTCATATACGTGTTCCATACACTGGAGTCATATTCTAAGTAGTGGTCTAACGAGCGCTTCATCCTAGGGCACGCTTACCTGGTTATTTTTTCTCAAATGCCTGTCTTCTCATCAACAGGAAATCGGCTTAGTGAAAGACGTGGAATCCACACCCGATGTCTTTTCAGGTGACACTTAACAGCCTACTGATGTGATGAAATATGAAGTTTTACGAAAAAAAATGGACCGACCTTCAAACCCTTCCGTACCGGTTTTTAAAACGAAGGCTAATGTATCAATATATTGTTGCTTAGTGTGACTGGTGTCATAGTGATCAGTTAAAATTCTACAGAATGGCATACCATAGGAACATGCTGTAGATTGGTACATTGCGAACATAAAATTGAAGGCGTAATAAAAAAAACTGCTGGAAGATTTTATCGTGTCAATTGATTTCTACTAGAGCATAATTAAAGACATGGCTAGATGTTTCAACCAAACCGAAAAAAAAAACACGAACAAAACCAAATCAATTTCGTTAAATGTGTAGCTCAGACCCCAACGCAAACCGAGAAATAACAAAAGCTGGTTAAATGAAGACGATAATTTTTTAGCCATTATACATAATGAATGATCGAGACAAAACGGCTTGAAATTTCGATCCAATTCAAAACTGGCCGTGAAACTAAAATTCAGGAGCTGCCGGGGGACTTCACTCTCCAGTAAATTCAGCCTCGTATGACAAAAAAGCCCAAGTCAACCAAGGGACATTAAATGCGGTCTATGGTGTGAAATATACTGGAGTGTTTTTCATGAAAAATACGTCTAAGGCGAAGAAATGGTATAATGAGTATGAAAAAGTGCAAAAGAGCGAAATTTTTGTTCACAATACAAAATGATCTTCCAACATACTTTTGGCATATCCACGGGAAAAAACTGCGCCCCTTTCTTAGCTGTCCTAGTTTTGTTTTCACATGGGATGGATTTACCGAGAGGTGTATCAAAGCCAGACGCAAGACGTCAATTCATTCAATTCCACTTTTAGATGTATTGCTGGTGTCTTCTCTTTAAACGAAAACTTATCGACAACGTTCATCGGAAATCTCTCAGAATTTGAAATCAAGAACACGAAAGAATCATCGACATAAGTAGCTTATCTCGATCTTTTTCTACGGCGAAACCAACAGTGACAATTTTTACCAAACTGTTTGGTAAGCATTATGATTTTGATTTCCTTACAATGCATTTTCCATTTGTATGTAGTGACCATCCTGCTTCCCCAATCTACGGTGTGTTGAGTTAAAATCCAAGGTCGTTGTACCAAACAGTATAATTTCTGTGCTTGATGTTGGTAACACGAGGATTCAAAAGATTAAGGTTGATGAAGACTGCGAGGACGTTATGTGGTAGCTATATTGATATCATTGGGAGCTATATGTCATTGTGTGATATGAAGCTGTAGGTGTTTCGATACCCGCTTGTATGCGCCGTGATTTTGTTGTTTATTCTGTTCTCGTTTTCAGAATGTGATATTACTTCTACTTTCCATCCTTCTAGATTTTGACATTTTCCCCCATTACTTTGAATTTCCTCACTCGCCCGCTAGGCTTCACAATTTTGGTCCTTAGCATCACTGACAAGTCCTAGAAGGACGAAACAGCTGTATGATGCAGTTTAATTTCTTGTTTGGTTCTCCTGTATCTACTTCTAAATTTGTATTAAATGTGCGTTTCACCTGTGTGTCTTTTGTACAATCTTTAATTGATCAATATTTGCATTGCATGACACAGGACTGTTGCCCATTAAGTAGAAGCTACTTACCTGTCCAAAACACCTATTCCTACTACCATTTTATTTTTCCAATGTTCCGCTTCTTAATATCCTTTTTAATTGCTATAGTTTCATCGATTCTGAGTTTGAATTATGATTTAGTTAATCTGTCGATATTGTGTTAATGTTCTCGTTCACTGGTTATCCGTAAAAACATGTACTAATATCTAAATATGTCACACGAAAGGCTGAAGTCCTCATACGACTTTCAAAAGGTCACTAGGAACTCTTTTAGCTGAATTCACTTGTACTTCTTGTACCACGAAAAGGTAGCTTATACAGGGTATATAAGTGTATTTTTTTCTCTCCTTATAAGGCATTCAAAGTTAACTGTGTGCATGTAGTTATACGGTAGGTTTATTGTAGTGTCGACCAGCATAACTACGGTAACGACGCTTATGTGGAGGTAAACAACCCCTACAAAATTTATTTTCCATTAATTTCGTGGGTATTTTTAATCCACGAATTCATTATGTCTACAAACTGTTTAAATTAGTGTAAGTTGATTAATTGAGCAATATTTATTCACAAAATCATGTGTACGGGATTCTTTTTTCTGAAAAACCACGAAGACTGAGATCCAAGGAAATAAATGATTTTACAATATTCTATACTGATCATGTAACTTATTTTTGCGATAGAATTTTATTTCAATCGTCAATAATTTATAGTGTGAATTGTTCAAAAACGATAATTGGAATAACATTTTGCATTATTGCTTTTTTACATTAATGTGTTCTTGATATTCGTAGATATATTTATATGTGTTCTACAGAATTTCATTAGAGTAGTTGAAACGGCATGAATTCACCAAAAGGTTCAAGCTGTGAGTGTTCGTGTCATGAATTGCGTCGTTGTGTTAATACATTCCCTGACAAACCTTGGTTCAACGCAGAATGTAAGCGTTTATACGAAATGTATAAGTTTGCACTGTTTGAGCTAAAAATGTAAATCTGTATGTAAAAGAGAATATTTGACTGTATCCAAAAAGTGCTATATATTGTATGAATCTAAAACGAAGCGTTCGTATTTCCAAATAGAAGGTAATATGATGGACACTTTCAGACCTAATGATCCAAAATCCGTCTACCACAATTTTTTAAAGAGTAAAGCTGTAAATACGAGTGACTGATCATTTGATGACTTTTTTCAATCATTTTCAGGGCTTGGCCGATACTCCAGCTGACACATCATTTTGCACTGAGGAGTTTGTAGATAATAATGAATGGCTTTATCCTGAACTGGACCGTGAGTGCAGTACCCAGGAGTTATAAAAAGTCTATCCAAGGGGAAGGCAGCTGGTGTAGATATGTTGTTAAACGAGTATTTCATTGAGTATAGCGAACTTTTTCTTCCTGTATAATAAAACTATTTAACGCTATTTTGCTTGTTGGATATTTACCTAAGTGTTGGGTTCAAAATGTTGTGGTACCCATACATAAAAAAATTGACAAAGACAATGTTAACAATTACAGAGGTATTACAATCATCTGTCATTTAGCTAAGCTTTTCACGTCCCTCCACAGTAGACTTTTATTGTCATGGAGCAAAAAAGAAGTGATACATAGGATGCAATTTTGTTCTCAATACCTTAATTACAAAAACTTTACCAAGTAGTAATAAACGACTGTAATATGTTTTGTCGATTACGAAAAGGCTTTCGACAGCATATCGCATGATAAATTATGGTTCAAACTATGGAAGTCAGGTGTTAGAGGTCGACTGATAAATGTAATTAGATCTATATATGATAATATTCAATCTTGTGTTAAATTTAATGGTGCTTTATCTCCCATGTACGACCTCCAGATTGGAATATTACAAGGGGAATTTTTATCTCCGATTTAATTTTTATTTTTTTATCAATGATATGGAGTCCGAACTTCAAATCATATTGTCAGAGTTACCAATTACAGTTGCCAAACCTTTCTATAATTTTGTGTGCGGACGACACAGTCTTGTTTTCTGAAGACATAGTCGATCTGC